TACAGACTATAATCCATTACCTCGTTGGCTCTTACCTCTGTCTACCTGGGACTGATTGAGGTAGACAGAGGGCCACGAGACAGGTTCCACCATACAGACTATAATCCATTACCTCGTTGGCTCTTACCTCTGTCTATCTGGGACTGAGTTCCCAGGTAGCTAGAGGGCCACGAGACAGGTTCCATCATACAGACTATATTCCATTACCTTGTTGGCTCTTTGCGCACGAAACGGACCCAACCACTGATTGCACCAACATGAAACTTGAATGTTCACAGCATTAAAGGACTATTTTTGCACAATCACATCAAACATTAACGCACCAGCATCGTCCGGACACGAACCGCTCGCTCTACTTTTATTTCACACGTCCCATAACTGTTCACACTCACTATACTCGACTGTTCGTATAACAAGTCAAACAATTCCAGACAATAATGATAAGATCGTGATAAGAACGTTATGTAGGTTGGTAATGGCAACTGATTTTGTGTTGGTTGAACAAATCTAACAAAATGAGTTGAAAAACATGTCTTTTAGAGAATGGGACGAAAATATATTGACTGAATGGGGGTTCATCTAGTTTAGTTTTAACATAAGAGGGCTAGGGGTACGGAATGGATCAAATTTTTGAGGAAGGGGTCCGGGGGTCATCCTCAGAAAAGGTTTAAAATTTAAGTACAAAATAGTTGATATTGTACGTAAATTTGCTTTATCAATTTTATGTTTTCACTGCAAAAATCTAAAAATGTGGTTATAACAAGGGGTTTCATAGGGGCTCTAATTATTGCTCTAACCCCTATCCCGCAGCCCATATTGACGGACGCCCAACTTGGGAGTGTTTTCGACTTTCATTATTAGTTATCGTAACTTTTTCCTATATATTTACCATATTGTGAACAATTACAGTCTACTTTCTTCTTCTTTGTTTGAAGTTCATTGTTGATGATGGTGAGTTAATGTTGTTTAAAGGTTTATTGCGTACATTTTCCATCACAACGGTAAAATACAATACAACGTTATTAAGCAGATTTCAGATCCCGAAACTTCTTTATGTATTATATTTTACCATTGGGATCGAAAAAGTCCACAATAAAACTTCAAACAAAAAGACAATTTTATAAGATAGGCCCTAAATAAAAAGGTTTTATTTCTTTGAGATTATCATTCTTACGTATCAGCTGAATACAATTTTAACACCTGTATGACGGGAAATTATTGTTGTTGACCTCTGTTTATTTTGTAAGGTATTTTACTAAATCCACAAGTATTACAACCAAATCTAAAAATACTATAATATTACTTGTATTTGTCCTATTGTATTATACCCAAAAGGGGGGAGCGAACTGGTCTAGTGGTAAAGCACGTTTTCGGTCCCTGAGGTCCCGGGTTCAATCCCATCAATCACCAATAGATTCTATCTGAGTAATAATGCCGCAACCCCTAAACAGGGAGGGTTGAAAATCCCCCCTTATAAAAAATTAAACAAGACGCATCTCTAAATGAGCAAAAAGTTTGGATTGGACCAGTTGTTAGAAAAAATATTTATTTTAAGACTCAGAAGGCCGCTTATTACGGTAATTCAGTTAAATATGACCCACAGGTTTTACACAATTAAACACGCATGCAGACAGCGAGACAGCCAACCGTATAAATTAACTGTATAATTTATTACGATCGTTAAAAATCGTTGACTTGCCTGCCTACAACGAAAGCGATAAACTCTACCAAATTTCACTAAGAAAATATGTATGTTTCTGTTAAATGGTTAAAAATCCTTTTATGCGAATGTACTGCGATGCTTTTCACTTCCATTTTGTTAAGTATTTAACAGTAAGGTTAGGTCGGATAGGGAAATGTCATGTAGCATGAGGTTTTCAATTACAAATTGTATTGATAAATCGATGCTTGTTTGTAAAAAAAACACATATGCCTACAATCTTATCCAAGAACGTTATGTAGAATATAAAAAAAATCTTCTGGTGATTTACCACCACTATTATTTACTTATCCCGGTAAATTCACTCAATTTAAATTGACTTTGGTTGGATCCAGGAGATATTATACAAGGTAAAACGACATACCAAATTACAAACAATTATTGATGGACTAATTTAGAGAAAAGAAAATTACACTTTTGTAAGATTAATTATAAACACGCAAAAAATACTAAAAATAATATCCGAACTATATAGTATATTACGTTACTAGTCCTGAAAATAAGTGTTTACCGGACGAGTGAGGTCGTTCCCGTGCGAGACGAAGTCGAGTACGGGATTACCATACGAGTCCGGTAAACACATTTTGGACGAGTTACGTACGATAAATTACGCCATACTACTTTATCCGTACAAATCCTTATATATTTCCACCAACTAAAGGAGTAAAAATCACTAGTCATAACCTCCCTTTAACCACTCATTGCCACGCAAATACAAGTATAATCAGCTGATTGGTGTCCGGTAAAACTCATTGCAGAACAGTAGTACGCAATGAAACCCCATTTGAATAAGCTGGCGGCAAACAGCTGTTTTCTGGACTAAATCCTTGCGTGGAAAGTTCGTCAAAATAGTGTAGTGTGGCGTAAAGTAATTTTACGACACGAAGTAAAAAAAGGGGGGTAAAGAAGGGTTAGAGGCACAAGGTCAAATCTGTTTACAGAACACAAAAGTTATTTGCGGTTTTCATCAAAAGATAAAAGCAAAAGCATTACTGTGAAATCGTCCGTCATGCTATCGATTATAGCTTGATGACCTGTCAATAGAAAGTAGTCAATATCTTTAGCTACTTTTGGCATTTCTCATCCTTTTCAATTTATTTGGATGCCTCGAATTATATAATGTTTTGTCGCGAATGAAAAATTGCTTTTGCGATTGTAAGTGAACTTAAGAATTTTCCTAACCTAGCTTTTGTTTGTAAATGAACGTTACTGTTAGAAGATGAGTGAAATGGATAGTGAAAAATATTGTTTGTAACCTCCTGTTTATTGTCGGGTCAAATAAAGTCTTGTAGACTACGTTACACGCTACGCAAGAGCGTGTTTACATCACTTAGGTAAATTATGCAACTCGCTTCCGCTCGTTGCACAACATTCACCTGCGTGATGTAAAAACGCTCTTACTACACTTGTAAGGTAAATAGCTATTACTCAGGATAAGGATACTACTTTTTCTACTGGGGACGTACAACTCTGAGGCGTAATTATGTTTCATATTCTTAGCAGGATAGCAATATTTGTATAGAGCATAAAATAATTACTTAAGTACCCATGTAATTCACGGTTTGATTTAGGAAAATGTGAAAATTCTTTCACTGAACAAAAATTATTTACACAGAAAAATGCAACAAAACACAAAAAAATAATATACACATACTATATCTTATTTCAGGTGTTTCATAATATTGTCATATTATGTTACAAATTAGGGAAAGTGTTCATCCTGTGATTTTGAATCTATATTACCACAATGAAATAACCTCAAAATACTCTAATTACGATTTGCTTGTTCAAATGCAATATGATATAAGCTTACAGTAGCTATAGACTGTATGATGGAACCTGGTCCCTGTCTACCAGGGTATGGCCAATGGTTTAAAGCCCGGGCAAGGTTATGTTTTGCTGAAGAAGACATGGTTCTAGAGCATCCTAAGGTGGGGTTTCGGCTCCCTGTACTAAAGCACCACGAAACTAAGGTTGACGAAGCACTACAAGACAGGTTCCATCATACATACTATAGTTCGTAGAACAAGTGGCATACCGTAGAACAAAGTTATTCTGTAAAACATACCCCTTGTGGTCACCACGAGAACACACTTTTAGAAAGACATCAGAAGCAATGTCAGTTTTCCTGCTTTTCAGGGTCACAAATACCTACTAATGATATAATTATATAACAATACGAAGAACCCTGAAGCGGTATAAATTGTGGAATATTCCATGGGCGGCCAAAGGGAAGAGTCTTCACATTGGTTACAAGTAATTAAAAATCTGACTCATGATTAAATTATGCAACTGTCATTTATATTTATTAATTACTAGCTGTACCCGCGGGCTTCGCCCCGTTTAACTTCATAAGTATTCGAATGGCTCATTCACGTCCTGGTTAAAGTTCGTTCGCTACGCTCACTCACCTTTAGGTTGGAGCTCGTTCGCTGCGCTCACTTGCCTTCAGGTTAGCTCGTTCGCTACGCTAACTCGCCTCCAGGTTGAAGTTCGTTCGCTACGCTCACTCACCTTTTGGTTGGAAATTAGCTGTTGTCATAAATATAAAAAAAATATAATAGTGCTGCACCCTGTTGGTAATCCTTGTAACTTTTATGCTATCGAACATCATAGAACAGAACCAACTTGTTTAATTGAAACAGCTGTTAAGATTCATTAATTCCTTTTAAATATGAAAAATCATAAGATTAACATGGGGAACTACAGAGCCACTGGGGCGGAGCCCGAAAGGGTTTTTGAGATAAGAATATGCTTTAATGTTAATCGGGAATGTGAGCTATGATCATGCCAAATTTCAGCCCAATCCGTCCAGTAGTTTATGCGTGATTGAGCAACACACACACAAACACACACACAAACACACACACAAACATACACACAAACTCACAAACTTTCAGATTTATAATATTAGTAAGATTTTAGATAAATAGTTTGAAAGTGGTTAAACTACTGAAGTGTAAAAAATCACGATTACCCAGAGGGGAGAACGGATTTTTAACCTCGACGAAACATTTAAAGAATCCTTCTCATTCGAATATTGTCTTTCTTAATCAGCGATGCTCGGTGCGGGGGCTTCATCTTTTAGCGAACGAACCTTTACTGTACATCTAAGGGGTGTTACAGAATACATTTTGGAATACTGAGAATGACAGCTGGAATAATAGTACCTTCCAAACTATAGTTTAAAACTACCAGTAGAATAATTCTACCTAATCCTTAACAAATAAGGAATTTAGGCTAAGACCACAAGCGAAACATTCAAAGTCCCAAAATTTACCGGAGTTCCTGGAAGAGCGGGACCCCCAGCAGCACACTAGGAGGGAGATGACCCACTTGAGAAGCGACGGCCTGGCACGGTGCGCAGGGGCGGAGTCCGAGGACCCGCGGCCAGAGGGGCACACGAACACAGTACAATGTCCCATCACCTTGCATCTTGGAAACACATTAGTCTAAAACACGTGGTAGACGAAGTTCTCTATCATTGACAAAAGTCCCATGCTCTCCCGCCAGTTTTGATTTTCCCTCCAAAAATCCCTTCGAGAATCGGGCGCGTCACATAACCATGGCCATCATGGCGGCCCGCTCGCCGCCACGGCAACGCTCGCACTAAAGAACATTCAGCACTTCGTGATCAATGCCATGCGCGTCGCATGACGCCCTTTCAATATTTTAGGTTTCATTTGGTCGAGAGCTTTCCTTCTTTGGTCTGTCAACTGGATTCCTGCGATCTATTATAAACAAGGTCACGGGCGTTTTTGATTGCCTATCGAATTTCGAAGGGGTTGTACTTTTGTATTAAGGGATTGGTGATCGGAAACCTTGTATTTGCATAATCTGCCTCTACGTGGAACGTGGCCAGTAGAAGCAAGCGGTGAATCGGTACAAAACAAGAAAGAATATTCTGAAAATTATTAGTGGAGCGGTAGGACTTGAACCTACGACCACTTGCTTTGCGTCCTCAGCGAGCACAGAACCTAGGGTTTTGCTACCTGAGTTAAATAAATTTTCTTGAGTAAGACGACTACGCACCTAAAAACTCTTTCTGGTTGCGTATTAGTGCAGAATTGAGTAGCTAACGGACACATATTAAATAATAAGTATGATTGTGATTAGGGCTACTACAGTACTATATAAATATAATTGAAAACATTATAAAAACATTAGTACCCTTTTAAATTCATTTTTAATTAATAAACGACATGTTTCGACACTTAGGTCATACTCATGTTTACATTTACAAATACAATATCAAAAATAATAAAAGGAATAAATAGTCATATGTTAAGTTAACTTAGAATTTAGAGGATCTTGATTTAATCTTTGTTTAATTTTCATTATTACAGTGAAAATGTTCATAAGGTTGGATAAAAAAATCCTAAGAGGTTAACTTTTGAGTAAAATGTATTTTATGTTAAGTTAATCTTGTATAAATAGTTTAGTAAAAAGATGTTTTTCAAAGATCAATTTTGTTTTACAATGTTGTATCTTGATATAATAAAACAAGTTTTGTTACTCAATATGGTTGTGGAGAATCGATGCAGGGGCTTCTCTGTCTAAAATGAACTATTACACGAAACGGATGATGTTACTAATATTGATATTCCATACTAATAAAGTTTGAATTTTACTAGTGTATAAAATTTTATTTCTGTAAAACCAAGAGTCGGTATTGAGCACCTAACAAGCAATCATTGTAATTTATCACCAACGTAATTGGACAGCAAAATTACAAACATTCAGAGATCCAACGGTAAGCGAATGGTTGGGCTCAGTTTTTCTTTTCCATGGAACTTATATATACTGTAGTTTTTGGATCATGTCTGGTAAGATTTTATCCATATCTTTTTGATAGCTGTAACAAAAATGTGTAATTCAATAAAATTTTCTTTTTAAACGAATTTTCTAAATGGTGAAAGCTGTATGTTTTATAGTAAGATCTTGACCCCGGACCTAAAATTTTCGTTTTGATGTCCCCCGGTTGCCAAAAAATCACCCGTTAAATGTTTATTGATATGTTATTTCCTGCTTAAACTGTAATCTTAACATGCAATTATTTATGGTTTTAGCAAATTTCTCTATAAGGAAGTAATATTACCGTAGGTAGATTTTATAGGTATATATATATTTGTATTGCATCATATGTGTGTGTGTGTGTGTAAGTAAACACTATAACTTGAGTAATTTTTTCAAACAGAATTTGATGTGAAGGTGTAAGGCGGGATAAACTTTAATAAGTTCTCGAACCAGCATGATCGGACCATGGGAACGGGGTTTTACGGGAAAAAATTGGGTTTTTCCTATTTTTGACCCTCAAAAAATAAAGGCGATTTCTTTCCATACTATTTTTTAGAGCTTAAAAAAACGCGAATAATTTTGAATATTGAATTCGGTTATGGAGAAAATTCAAATTCCCACGTTCTTCTTAAGGAAAATATTGTAAAATGTTGTAGTATGTTTGTTCCTGGATATATTTTTATAAAACTTGGCAAAATTTCACTAAAAAACACTAAATTAGCTTCCGTAGCAGCATACCTAGGTACTCGTTAACCCTAATGTTATTTAAAAAATTTGATTGAAAATCAATTCTGGTAAATGGAAATTCGCTTAGTCTGCAGGTTTGCTGTGCTGGTGGTATTTTGTTGATTTATATTTTGCATTTACTCAACTTTTTGCCCTAATTAACAATAATAGGAGTTGGCTTTTAATAAAAGTTTTCCTTTATTTTATTATTGGGCATTATTAGTTATTTTAAGCATAATGAGTTTTTATTTTTGCTTACTGTGATATCCACATAATGAGCCTGGTAATGATTCCTGGCAAAAGTTCAGTAGTTAGGGTTTTCAATTTTATAATTTATATTTTTTTACATTCCAATTTTATGTGAAATCAAAATAAAATCTTTTTGCTTTCCTGCAGTACCCTATGTAGTGCAATTTTTCTTACCTATTGACTATGTAAGTTTTTCAACAAAATTAACTTACGCGTATGATTTGAAAATTTAATCGTATGATTTAGTATTTTCATGAATCAGTGCCTCATATGATCTTTACATGGTAGTCTTAAAAGTTAGCCTAGCTTAAAAGAAAATTATGTTTTCAAACTAAGAGGTCCAATAAAATGTTGTCCCGGGAACAAAAGGTGGATGTGTAACTTTTTTACACAACAAATTTCAAGATCAAATGTTTCTCTTCAGTTTCCTCTTCGTTTCAAAGCACGAGGACAGCAGCTAGTGATTATAAACATAAGTACTCTCTTTTCAATCATAAAATCATAAAGTTTGAACAGATAGTTTTTTGGCCTCTGGGGACATAAAAATGAAAAAAAATCCCCGTGTTTAGGTCTTACCGTGCCACCTACGGTAAATTCGCTGAAAAGTTATTAATGAGTCTCTCACAGTGGATGATGCTTTATATTCTCTATCCCTTAGTTTTGTTACTGAAATAATTGACTAGACATAAAATGAACATTTATAGGATCCCCATTTTATTCTTATAGAGAAAAATAAAACTATTATAGTTCGCTTCTTTGTGGCTGTATGTTGATCAAATTTGGGTGTTGATCAACATACCCCTCAAAACGAATGTTGGATCTGAAATGGACGTATATTGTTGTGAAATGGACATATATTGTTGTGAAATTGACATATATTGTTGTGAAATGGACGTATATTGTTGTGAAATGAATGTATATTGTTGTGAAATGGACGTATATTGTTGTGAAATGGACATATATTGTTTCAGATACTTCAGATCAGCGCTTTTGGGAAGTCTGGTAAAGCGGAAGTAAAAGGCAATGGTAAAACTACACAAACTGTGTTAATCTCATAAACTTGGCAATTAGGCACAAAATAACTACTACTTTGATTAATAAGTTCTTCGTTATATTTCACATTTTAAAGAATATTTAAGTTTGACCTACACATGCTTGCAAAATTATTTGACTTTGCATTTAATACAGATCTTACCCAAAGCTGGACATTGTTGTTTTCCATGACTACTACCACATCTATAACATTTAAAACATCTTTTACCTGTTTGGTCCATTTGATTCCTCTTTTCCTGTTTACATGTCCCAGCAGAGGTTTTAGTTACTTGAACTTCTTTCTCCTCATTGAGTTCATTCATATTTTGTTCGGTTTACTCCATTGTTTTGAAGGTTTTATATTATCTTTTCCGATTTTAAATCTTCTCTCAAAAGTTTCTCTTGGACATTTTTTTGAACTTAGCCCAAGTATTATCTGAGCTCTCAATAGTTTTTCCTCATGTTCTTCAAACTTAATTGGTTTGTCTAAATTTTTTAGGTCCGAATGGAATTTATTAAATGGTTCACCTTGTTGCTGCTTCCTTTTGAAAAACTTGTAATTATCCATGGTTTCATTCTTTCTTGGCGTGTAATACTCTAGTGTTTCTAATGTTTTAACTATTTCTGGATCTTCATTATTTAGTTTAAAATCTTTACCTATATATTTTAAAGGCTACCTTTCCTAGGAGATTCTTAAGTTTTGCTGCTTGTATTGAATTAGGCTTCTTTTCAGTTCCAGTAGCAAGGAAGTATATTTCCACTTCTTCTTTAAAAGTCCAAAAATGTTAATCCAAGTTGGCTTCTACGCTTAGGACATCGGGTTAGTTAAATTCCATTACTGTGCATCTTGTATACTATTCTTCTGTTTTTCTTCTTAGTAAAATCTTTTTTCGACTGCGCCATGTTTAGTAAAAAAGAAAAAAAAAATTTAAATTGAAGTTTTTTTTCTATCTTAACCCAAAACTGTTTACAATTCAAAATTCTAACTTAATTATTATCAAAAACTTAATATTTTAAACAAAATATATTACACAAAGATTGAAAGTCAATATATAAATTAAGTAACATACAAACACCATTTATTTCCTTATTCTGTGTATAATTGTGAATAAGAATTTATTTTTAAAGTCTTAGTCAGTCTGACACGTGGGACATTTGGTTTCAAACGATACTATATATATCAAACAAGTTGTTCTGCCCATTCCGCACGGGAAGAGAACGCAAAGAAGACAAGGGCGATTCTTCTTCACTGCCTGGTCCAATGCAAACTGCTGGTGGATTAAGCGCTTGTTCTTGATGTAAATTGATTTTATCAATGTCCAAATCACAAGGCAAATTACTTCATACTTCTTCCCTTCTTCTTTGACCAGTCATATACTGGAGATGGTGTCAATAACACTCTTAAAACTAATAACTAGATCTGTATAAAACAAATATTTAAGACTACACTATTTACACATTTTGGATCATGTTTGGCGGCAGGTCTTTACAGAGCTAGGCCTTAGATACTCAACGGATGCGATTTTTCCCAGTTGGAACACATAAGGTTCCGTCCAAACTCTATGGTTCACATTAAGTCTGTAACATCAATAAATTAATTGCCATTTTTTATACATAATACTGAACTATTGATACTGATACTGTGTTCAGTGTGATAAGTAAACAATTGAAAGATAATTCAAAGGTTTTAACTTTATCTTAAATTATAAGAAAAGCATACTGTCACT